AAGCAATGCAAGGATAATATGTTACATATTTAGGTAATTTTTAGCATATTCTATGAAGTAGAACGTATCTAACACTTAATTTTTTAAAAAGCAAACCTTTTCTACTTTATATAAATTTCATTCTACATATATTTTTTAACAACTTAAGTAAAGCTCTGCATCCGCCAGTTTGTACAGCCATACGTCAAAAAATAACGAAGTTAATTTATTGACGCATTGCTATGAAAGCGTTACTTTTTAACAGTGAGATTTGGCTAATTTTCAATTTTTTTACTGAAACCGGTGGTGAACACTCAAAAAACGGCCCCAAGAGGGCATAACATGAATGAAAAAAACGGAATAGATTTAAAGTCCAGCGGAGTAGAGGAGTAGATTTAAATTTTTTTTAAAAACCGGAGTAAATCTAATCTGATTTTAGTTGAGTCCAAACACTAGTAGGGAACGAATTCTTTACATTTTAACGCTAATGACCCACAGATGGCGGGAAAACACAGGGTTGTATCAGACTTTCGACGTGGTTTCGAGTTGGTTAGCTTTTAACCATCTCAATGAAATGGTTAAGTGCTGTCATTTTTATATGGCGAAACTACGCTAAATCAAGTGGGTTATCGGGATAACCAACTCAGTAGCCATAACTACGTGGTTAGCTCCGGTGGGGACATGGTATAAGGGGTATTCGCAAGCGGAAGGTGTAGATTATTTCGACACTTTTTCCCCAGTTGTTCGGCATACTACATTAAGAATGCTATTTGCTTTGTCGGTCCAATTTGGACTTAATACAACTCATCTCGATGTAACAACAGCTTTTTTGAATGGAGATCTTGAGGAGACAATTTACATGTCGATACCAGAAATGTTTCCTAATACTGAGAAAGGGAACAAGGTATTAAAGCTTAAAAAGGCAATTTATGGCCTCAAGCAGTCCTCAAGAGCTTGGTACAAAAAGGTAGATGAATGTTTACTAAAAATTGGTTATATAAGATCTGAGTTAGAACCATGCATGTATACAAAATTAGTAAATCAATCAAAAACTATTGTTACGGTTTATGTAGATGATTTCTTTATTTTTTCTAATGATACAGTTGAGACTAAACTTTTAAAAAATGTATTGTCAAGTAAATTTAAAATCAAAGACTTAGGCGAAATCAGGAAATGTCTTGGCATGGATGTAATAACAAACAAATCTGAAAAAACAATATCATTATGTCAAAAAACCAATGTTGAACAGTTACTAAAAAAATTCAATATGATTGATTGTAAAACAGTAGATACTCCAATTGAGAGTAAGTTGTTTATAAATCAAGAAAATCATTGTGAAGTTGGTCTTCCGTACCAACAGTTAATAGGAAGTCTTATGTATCTAGCTGTGTTAACAAGGCCAGATATTGCCTACGCGGTAGGATTTCTTAGCCAATTTAATCAATGCTTTACTAGAGAGCATTATTCCTATGCAAAAAGAATTTTAAAGTATTTAAAGCGAACTAAAACATATGGCATAAAATATGCATATCATGAAAGTTTAAATATCGAAGGCTTTGTTGACGCAGACTGGGCAAGCAACACTATAGATAGGAGATCTTATACTGGTATATGCTTTACATTTGCAAAAGGCATAATATCTTGGGAAACTAAGAAACAAAAAACCGTAGCCTTATCAAGTTGGGAAGCCGAATATATGGCTATATCAGAAGCCTGCAAAGAGGCAAAATACTTAAGAAATTTACAATTTGAAATTACAAAAATAATGTACACTATTAACTTATATAATGACAGTCAGAGTGCACAGAAGCTTGCAGCAAATCCTATACTTCATAAAAGAAGCAAGCACATAGACATAAGATACCACTTTAGTCGAGAATGTGTTAACAGCAAAATAGTTAGTATAAGATATTTGCCTACAGCTGAAATGCCTGCTGATTTATTTACAAAAGGCTTATGTAAAATTAAGCATTATATATTTTTAAGAAAGCTGGGTGTCCAGCACATTGAAATATTGTAATCCATACTCATATTGTTTGTTATAGTGGGGGTGTTGAAATATACCAAACAATACAACCCTGTTATGCCTACAGGTACACATGTAAACTGTCAAATGAAATAAATTCTTCTTGTTCTACCATTCAACCGCTCACCACGTTTAACTTTTATTTTAGAGTCTTTAAGGAGTCCTATTTCGGAGCTATTACGCTCATAATGAGCTCATTTAAGAGTCCGATATGAGTGTGTTTCCCTTCCTACGAATGTCGACTTATATGAGCTTAAATTCATACATCAAATGAGCGTCAATATGAGTCATATTGGACTCTTATTGGCCTCATATACGGCTCATTTTGGACTCTTTTAAAACAAGTTTTGGCCTCATATATGACTCTTTTTGAGACCTGTATCGGCCTCATAAATTGCTACATTCGGACTCGGACATTCGCAAAAAGTCCATGCAAATAATATACATACATACTCACATGCATATACACATTCCAACATGCATTCAATAGCAGCAGCTGAAGCTAAATTTTGTTCATTTTTTGTTTTCTAATTATTTTCAATTTCTGTATAAACAAGTTTAGATATAAATTTCAAATCTTTATTGTTTTTATATTGGCACAAGGTGCTGGCTCATAACCATTGTATAGGCTTACAAGTATGGAAAGCGCCATTTTGTTTGTTTACATTTGAAAACAGCTGAGATCACCTGATTTTCAATTCTCTCATTCTCCGCACAGAGTTACATTCAAGTTTCAGAAAAAACTTTAAAATGTAAATTGAGAAATATTTTAGAAAAATGTGTTTTTATTCATTTGAATTCAATAAAAAAGAAACTAAAAATGCGTGCCAAGTCTTGCATTTCCAATATTAACGATAAATGTGTATGTTCCAGGCAATAATTTAAAATATTTGTGAAACTTATCGTTTTGCGCTAAAATACATCAATGTGTGTGAAATTCTTTGTCATTGTTTTTGTTTTGAACATCATATTCGTGCCTGCCGGTGGAAAAATTAGGTAAATTTGCATTTATTTTTAAGAAAACATATAATTTAATATATATTTCTTTCCAGAGCGACATACGGACAAGTAAGATGATCATCGTTTAAACAAATGGTTTATTTTCTTGTACAAGCAGCCGTGGCCCGAGCAGCGCAAATCGTGGCAGAGAATTATAAGTAATAAGGGAAATAATAGTGCGATAAGAAACTGGAGCTCGGGGAAAACTATAATTTACGTCTCTACGCAGCACGTACGCATGTGTGGGTGCATTTGCGATTGTGGCCTAAGAAGCGGCCCGAAAAACCTTACCAAACCTTTTTTTATTTTACGCTTACATCAACGTTATGCCACAATCACGTGCCGCCGCAGCTGCAGCTACTGGCAGAGGCCCACAGGCATTCATAAAAATTGGCCACTATTTACTGGACGCAACACAAGGTAGCAGTAAAGATATTGGACCTCATGCATTAAATGTGAGTTTAAGCTCCAACTCGATTTTCAGTACAAATTCTTGAGCTTAAGCTCACCCCTTTAGTGCAAAAATTGAGTCTGACCTTAGACTCATTTTTTATGCATGAGGCCCATTAAATCGCATAAATTGGTTGAAATGGTTGGAAGTGGACCAACAACTTGCTGCCTTCTCGTCAATTTGGTTACGTTGTGTTGACTAACTCCGGAGGCATTATGGATCTTGAGGAGGCCAGACGGTAACATTTGGGAGGCAAAATGCTAGGATTCTTGTTCTAAGCTGGGCACTGGGTATTCACACTTTTGTTAGTGTATTGAAGCTATTGCAGCTGGCAAGAGCAACATGTTTATATTATTTTTTACAAAAATAAAAAGATGAAAGCCACTTAAAGTAATGAGTAAATTTGCGTGGAAGAAAATAAAGAATAAATAAATTTGTATGATGAATATCGAGGAAAATCGTTTGCATCAAAATTTCTATTCAAATTTTTATTTGAATTATGACATCAACAGGGATGCTTTGAAACGTATCTTTTGAAGAGAAATTTTTATAATTCTTGTGATTATTGATATTTTCTAGAATTAAAAAAGCTAGTTCATATTAAAAAATATATTTAGACCATGATAAAAATATAGTAAGGTAGAACCGCTGAGAGTCACTTTTAAAATTCTTGACGTTTCCAAACAATTTAATTTTTAAATTTACTCACAAACTCACACACACATTTTCATTTTCAATCTCAAGCAACAACAATTTCGAACAATTTCATTTTTTTATTTTCACATTTATATGATTTTAAAATGTTTTCAAACTTCAAAAAAAAAATCATGGCCGACAAATTGAGAGAACGGTTATACCTTGCTATGTTTTTATCATGATTTAGACTACAAGTATGTAATGTACGTTTATTACGAACTGAAACGATTTTAATGAGTATTCATAGGTTCATAGCAGTTACATCAAAATGCATATTTGACAAGAAAGAGTACAAGATTGCCCCGTCATAGTGGCGATGACATTTCTGTACAAAAAGTAAACAAAGCCGAATTGCATGTTAAAAGAAAATATCAGACCAGCCAATTTTCTCAATAATAAATTTTTCGATAGTAAGCGTGTTTTAATTGCGCTGAATTCTAAAAATATATGAGTTACAATGACAATTAATAAGGAAAATGTGAAAAAGCGGTGATTTTTCTGGAAGTATAAGTGAATTTCAGTACATTTAAAGTTTCTGATACGTCGTTTACTTTTAGATCAGAATTATCAAAATCGACAAATTCAAAGTAGGGGTATGTCTGACGGTGCCACCTTTGTTCGCTGCATCGTGCATATTGGGCAAATGACGTTTTTAAATGCATTTTACATACAAACATATGTACCAGTTCAAGATGAAAAAAAGAAACCAAAATTAGTAATTTTTTTATGAATGTAGTTAAAAAAAGTTCACAGAGGAAATGCCGGTAATCAATCTATCGGCAATCACATAAAATCTATGTAGGGAAATTCAGATGTCAACAGAATAATAACTACAATAAAAAGCACCACAGAAGTGTGAGAAGCAGGCAATTTTTCAATCTGAGCAAAAAATTTTTTAAATGCCGTTGTAAAAAGGTCAATACATTTCTTATAAAATAGTTTGATTTTTGATGGGTGGTATAACTCAGTGGAACGGTTATTAAAGAAAATAAAATTTTTAAAAGTAATAAATAGGAAAAAAATGGACTAAAAATGTGAATTTAAATATTTTACCCAAATTCATAAAAAATTAAGAAATCGATTTTTATTATATATATATATATATATATTATATTATTTTTTATGAATAACGTCATTAGCATATACCGTTTTTATAAATGAATCTTGTAGCGTCGCGCTATATACATACATAGGTACATATATATATTTTGGCTGGCGAAATATGTACTTTTGCCAACTAATTAAAAAAGCGTATGATTCAATTTAACCACATTAAAAAAGTATTTAAATATTTTATGGCGCAACACAGCAACACTTTTTGTTTCACGAAACCCTTGAATACGAGCCTCTCATCTATTTCTTCTATTTCGACATTTCGCTATTTTACATTTCTTTCATTTAACGTCATTCGCATTGTCACATTTCTCAAATTCGTTTTTGCTTCGACATTCTGCTATTTCATAATTATTTCATTCTCATGTATCCATCTTCCATTTCTTACCTTCCATTGCCGTTCGCATCGTCGAACGTGCCTGTCAAACACTGCCGCCATCATGCTTTTCAGTTTGGCAGGCACGTCCGCTGTTTGGCAGGCACGTCCGTTGTTAGAAAGAGAATAGACAAAAAGGGGCATAGGATTCCATACTTGTAAGTATATACGATGCTCATAACTTGGCTCATATATGAATCCTAAAAGATTCATATAAGAGTAAAAAATTTTTTGTTTTTGAAACTCATATTTCTTACCTACCTAGGACACCTTTCGGACTCATATATTCTGAACGCTCAGAATATGTTTGCGGGGTAAATTTAAAAATTAAATTGTTTGGAAACGTCAAGAATTTTAAAAGTGACTCTCAGCGGTTCTACCTTACTATATTTTTATCATGGTAAATACCTTGGAGATTGAGTCAATTCATATCAAAAAAATTTTTTTGTGTGTGAAAAAACAAAAGCAGGCATTTTATGCATTTAAAAAAATTCGAATTTGATTTAATTTGCATACACTCACCCTTTTTTACCAATGCACTCACATTTTGCCTATCACCAATTTTTCTTTCAAGACGATAGGTAATTTCTCGTTAATTTGAACAGCTAATCGGTCATAGCTTTGGGAAGTGAGTTTTTGTTTGCAGAAAATTGTCTGATTAATAAAATATAGAAAAAATAAAGAAATCTTATACGTGTAAGCAAAGTGAAAGCAATGTTTTGAACGCGTAGACGCAAATTAAGCGAACAAATTTTAATGTTCAATTTGGTTATATTTACCAAATACTTTTACCTACCAAAAGCTTCATCAAACCAACCAAGCTACCAACGGAGAATGAAGCTACCAATTTTGGTCCAATTGGACCAAAACGGCAACGCTGATTAGAACTGATCTGACCGGTTGAGAAGCAGCCATTTGTAATAGCAATTGAGAAAAAAGTGTGTGACGTTCGTAATTTTGAAGTTTGCTATTTCTGTTTTGCTTCTTTCTTTATGTGTATTTTGTCGGTGGTTTATTTCAGTGATTTTTAAGCGATATTCAATAAATTTCTTGTGCAATTGTAATTAAAATGAAGTGCGCGGTGATTGGATGCAAAAACACGTACAAAAATAATTAATTGGTTAGCACAAACATGTGCTACAAAATTGTTTGCATTTTTTCTTTATGCTTCGTCTTCATATTCTTTGTTTACTTTGTTTGCTTCATCATGTCAGATCTTGTGTAGTTGGATCATGCCCATTTAACAGAATTTTTGAGAGAGAGCCGTAAGTTAACTAAAGTTGCCATAATCAGACCATTACAATTAAACCGGCAAACCTACCCAAATCCCCAAAAAAAACAATCCACAAGAATAGAGATCTGTTTTGCGTCAATTATCGTGAAATACGGCCCAGTTCTGTGTTTTCTTGATAAATTTTTTGTAAAGAAATTTTATCAAGATTTTTATCAAGTAAAAGCTTCCCTCGTATTCTGTGTCAATATTTATAAAACAAAAAGCTCTACGATTTCCACATAAGTGGAACTGATTTCCACATGTGTGGAACTGATTTCATTGTCACATATGAAAAATATGGATTTAAAAGCAACAAAGCTTTTGACTTTCGTAGCCGAGTAGCTAGAGATGTCGACTATAATTCCGTGTGTCGCAGGTTCAAATGCCGGCACATGGAGTATTTAATTGTTAGAAACAAATTTATTAATATACAAAATGTCTACATTTCACATGAAATTTCAATTTGTCAATAGCATTTTCAATCTTGATAATTTATCAAGAAAAAAGCTTTTGGTTTCTGTGCTAGAATACCAATTCTTGATAAATAATAAAAAAATGACAAATTATAAAGATTTTCAATTTATCAAGTGCACAGAATCGGGCTGATAGCCTTCATAAACTTGAATATTTACTCCTATCAATGATACTGTGTGAAAGATTCGACGCCAATGATAAGACAAAGTAACACTTAACAACAAATATGGAGTTGTCTTGCAAATGATGCACATGCGACTGATAAGAGTTTAGGAAAAAGCCTGGAGATCAAACGAAGAATATTTCTTGAGGCTACAGAAAGAATAAGCAAGAGGAGCAGAGGAATCGGAACTAGCCACGCTACCCATACAGATAGCAAATAACAGATGGTAGTTTTTCTGCTTACCATTTTCCCATTCACTTTCCGGAGGCCTTCATCCTGTAGTCAGTCAGATTTGCGCCAAGCTCCAGCGGTATATACCTAGCATCTGCTCAGTCATGTAGGGCGGTAAAGGTTTTATTCCACAATACATCGTCTTCTGCCACATCAGGTGAGGTTGTCTTGCGTCAGCTTATGTTCCATAAGTGTTAAGGAAGGCGCGAGTAATCTCCAACCCCAAGGGGGTAAAAGTGATAGTGATTATTTATTTGTAAATGGGTAGAAACCCTGCACCAAACAATAATTGCTGAAACTGCACTAGGCGATAGTATTCCCACGACAGAATGACTCGAGCAGTTAGGTGCAATACCTGCTCAGGCCTCAGAACTTACCGAAAGTGGACTATGTCGTTTGTGGTCCCGTGCTGTTCTAACCTAACAAACAAGACGATATTGACGCACACACAACGCACGTACCGGTCCTACCAAACGCCCGACAGCCTCTACCCACCACCCAACATAACACAACCACACCTCCAGACACACGCATTGCGATCAGCTTCCCAACACCACAATAGCGCAACTTTGCTCTGGATAATGCAGCAGATTTAACTCATACCTGAGCAGAATAAACGAGGATGTACCCAACCAATTCCCGGCATGCATAGAGTCGCCACATGAAATCTCTTCGCATACCACCAGAACCCCACCCAGCTAACGCCCCTGCCCCTATGGACAGATCCCGTTGAAGTCGCGCACTTCCTGGGCCTCCCCTTAGCTGAAACAGACGCCAACGTTGATGGATGAGCCGACCCGAGCGGGGCTTAGCAGAAGCTATAACAACAGCATCAATCAGCCTCCATAGGCACACAACGACACTACAATTTAATTGCAATGGACACATACTCCAGACCAATATCGAGGAGATAACCGTCTTCATGGATCAGCATTGACTCTTGGTATCTGCGCTCCAAGAGGCGAAGTTGCGCAGCAATTCAACATTGTTGATCTGCGCCGGATACAATGTGAACGTGCACAACGATC